ATAGATCCAGAGACATGGAAGCATGGAACAGACTGATGAATATGAGTGAAGGTAGGTGGGTAGGTGGGTGGGGAGAGATTAACCAAAGAACTTACATGCATATATGCATAACCCATGGACACAGACAATAGTGTGGTGAAGGCTGGGGTGGTTGTGGGGTGTACGGTGAAGGGGGTCAATGGGAAAAAGGAGACATCCTTAATACTTTCAACAATAAAGATACATTTTAAAAAATAAAAATAGCTATTCATGTTCAAGGAACCTTTATGTGAACCTTAGGATGGGAATCTTCAAAACGATGAAAAGTCATCTCAGCTGAATGTAGCTGACTTGCTCCTATATTACGTATGTGTTAGAAAAGGATTCGGGGTTGTTTAATCACAATATGTTTCTAATTTTCATTTTAAGGCACTTGTGGCTTAGCAGTCTCAAATCTCATACATGGCTTAATGGTTTCATCCTCTTACTCTCTGACAAAGTATTTACATTCAGCTCGATTTCTGCAAAAGACTAAGTCTTCAAAAATAGAAATCAAGACAGCCAAGTATATTTAAAGATAACAGGCAATAGATAGTGCTAAAAATGATTATAATACACTTTAGAAATTAACCTTGGGCCAAATTCCACCAGAAGACCTATGGATAGGATCTCAGAAAAGCTAGCTAAGTAATGAGTATCATGGAAGTGATAACCAGACAAGAAGTTCCAAGGATCTGAGCCCCAAGTCTCTCCCTGAGAATCTGTGAGGTATTTCTACGACTACTACATCTGCTGCAATCTGTGGACTGCAATTTCACTTAAGGTTGGTCATGTAATTGTGAAGTGTTATTGCATTATTGATAAACCCAGGAAAAGAAATGTCAAGCCCTTTTAAAGTCACTGTACACTGAGCACAGCACTTCCACCAGAGAGTTAAGGCTAAGCAGTAACATGATGAGAAGGATTTTCTTATCCTCACAGCTAATTCCAAACCCACATGAAAATGAGAATGAAATCCATTTATGTTTGATAAGCACCCACCACACTTGTACATTTTTTAAATATATTTTGATTGATTTCAGAGAGGAAGGATGAGGGAGAGAGAGATAGAAACATCAGTGATGAGAATCATTAATCTGCTGCCTCCTGCATGCCCCCTACTGGGGATCAAGCCAGTAACCCGGGCATGTGCCCTGATTGAGAATTGAACCCTGACTGCCTGGTTCATCGGTCCACACTCAATCACTGAGCCACACTGTATGCTTTTAAAAGAACAGAGAACGAATATAAGGGGAAAGAAAAACTAATCAATATAAGGTAATTGGGGAAGATAATTGGATAATGGGAGAAAAAATTGTCCATAGCAACAAAATAGAAGATATTATTTATGTTGATTTACAAGTAGATGAGTTCCAGATGTATTTTTTAAATCTACTTCTCCCAGGTGTTTTTCTGCTTAATAAATAAAACATCCAAGTTGGAATATTGCTGAAGCATTGAATCACCAAAATTCTGGCTATGGTCTTCTTCTGCTGTTAACTATTTTAAGCTATTTCTCCGCAGGGCAGCGCTACTGAAATCATCAGCATACAGGCTTGGCAGAGCCAGAGAGAAAAAGTACAGTCCACAGATTTGTTTCTTCTGTTTTTCCCAAAACAGAATCTCATAAAAAACATGCCCTCAAATTCTGTCACGATGTAGCTGACAGAATGAGAAATTCGGCTCCTGTTCATAACTCTGACCGTTAAACCCATTTCTTGTGCTACTGAGAAGTCACATAGCTCCAGGAAGTCGGGAGGCACCATCGCAACTGTTCAAATGGTATCCAGGCAGAACAATCAGTCAATCAGAAACTTTAGTTCCAGTGGGATGAAAGTTTTTGGGGCCAACTTGGAAAAGCCTACAGAACAAGTTTGACTTGACTGCCAAGATCATTTCCAGGACACTGGCTAATTAATTATAAAAGCTTTTTCAAAACAAATTTGAGCCTGGCAACCTTTTTTCCTACCCAAAGAGAGAGGAAAAAAGCAGGTTCAAAATAATAAAAGCCCAGGATTGTTGTGCTGTTGTGTTTTTTTGCCATAGCTTCGTCTTCTTTGCAAGCCCATTTTCTTCTTAGCACCTTTGTATTTGAAGTTACTGAAATAGTGGTAATAGAAACTGGAACTATAGCTTGAATTCCTACTCTACCTTGGGTCATAGACAGGTCATGGGACGGTCACAAAGCTTCTCTTCAAATCCTTTTGTGGGAAGCAAAGAACAGAGCTTCTTCCTCTTTGGGGGGAGGATAAAGGGCTCATTGCATTAAGTATGGCTGTTACTAGTATATTAGATAAATGGAGATGGATAGTTGCTCTTATAACGATATCCTCATCAACCTCATTTCCAGGCTTTGAAAACAAAAAGAACTAAACCCCTGAATTTAATCTCCCTGGATTCATCTTACTCTGAATCTTCATAAATATGAGATGCTAGTGATAGTCAGCAAAGATTCTGGTTTCAAGGACAACATCACACAGGTTTTATAGTAAAATCAACACCCCGGGAACATAATGTCCAGCCTATTTCTTCTAATGCAAAATCTTGTGCAGGACACCTCTGAAACCATTGGATTTCTTCTGCACATGCCCAGATATGAAGAGACTCAAGAAGGTAAGAAATTTCTCTCAGCATTTATCAGCTGCTTATTGACAAATTCCTGGCCAAAGAAGAACTGTCCCGAATAAAGGAAGCCTTCCTCAAAGAGTATGTCAACCAGATATTCCTAACTCTGCCTCATCTAGAATCAAGACCCCCGGCAAACCTCATAATTAGTGTTGCTTGATACCTTACATAGAGGCTGGCATAGCATAATTGTATAATCAAATATTAGTTAAAGGAATGAAAGAATGAAGGTACCACAATTCTTATCAATCACCATCTCATACCTGGATCACAATCACGTAGCTAATCTACTACTGTTCCTCTCAGTTTCCCCACGGAATCAGAAATAGATTTAGGGCTTCTCCACTTTTATTGCCATACAGTATGAACAACAATCAAAATCAAGAGCCAGAACAAGTTGATGCTATTGAATTAATATCTGATATACTTGTAAAAAGAAAACAATCACATATAACATGTAAAAACTGTGGATCTATGTTGGTTCCCCATAGTTCTATTTTTTTTTCTTTTCAACTTAATAGCCCTTAAAAGTCTATAATGTAAACCATGGCTATTGAGCCCCTGACACCCACATTTTATTTAACCAAGTACTTTTCTAGGGAGCATTCCTTAAGTGGTCTTTTCTAAGACTCCCTGTTGCTTCTTTAGTGAAAATCACCATTTAGGAAAATGTATTTAATCTTTTTAAACCTAAATTTCCTCATTTGTACCAACCACATGTTATGGGCACACATAAATTCTTAGCTTAGGGCCTGGCCAATAATAAATGCTAAATAAATATTAACTATTATTTTAAAAACTAGAGGCCTGGTGCACAAATTCGTGCACACTGAAAAGAAATTAATTAGAAAAAATATTTTAGAGGCCAGGGAGGGACCGTGGAAGGTTGGCTCCGGGGCTTGTCTGGCCCGTCTCGCCCAGTCCTGATCAGCTGGACCCTAGCAGCAAGCTAACCTACCAGTCGGAGCGTCTACCCCCTGGTGGTCAGTGCCCATCATAGCCACTGGTCGAGTGGTCTACCAAATGGTCAGACACTTAGCATGTTAGGCTTTTATATATATAGATGTTGTTTGATAAATACTGAATGGAACCAAGATGTGCGAAATAGTGTTGAGGGAAATTCTCAATAAGTCCTAGTGGACTGAGTTTTCCCTTTTCTGCTGCTGTATTCCATATTTAATAATCTTCTCCCCATCATTTCAAGAGGCAGGAAAGGGAGGGGAGGAGGGCTATCCACATTAGCATTTCAAGGGGGAGTAGAACTAGGAGTTAAGAATTAATCTCAATGTAAAGAGGGAGGAAATTAGGCCTGGCCAAAGCAAAACATCCCTCTTCTAGGGAACAAAAATAAATTAAGATGAGAAAGATAACATCAGATTTCAGAGCATCTTAAAAGTCATACAGGCAATTCTGAACTTAACTTTATAGGAAGCCATTACAAGCTTTTAATCCAAGGGAGAAATGGAAGGGCAATATTTTACAAAGTGTTAAATTGTGAGAAAATGGAGACAAGGAATTAGCACCAAAGGCTTTTCTAGCAACACAGTCTAAGATGATAATGGCCCTGTTAGGGGGCTACTGGTGAGAAGAAGGAAGAATCCAAATGCTATTTTACAAGAAAGAACATGAATTTCATCTTCCCTGTACTTTTTACAAATGTTGTTAAAGAGAAGCATCCTCATAAAGAAGAAATGTACAATTCAGATTTATTTATTCAGGTAAAAATTTCACCCACTTAGTCCACACAACTGGTTTTGGTTTTTATTGCACAATGCAAAATTGTATCTGCTCACCATTTTCTATTATCCCCAGATATTCTCCCAACTGGAAAATGGCCCAGTTTCTACCATATTTTTTTTAAAAGAAAGAAAATTGAGACTCAAACCCTAATTGCTCTACATTTCAAATAGTCTACCTACTATGTATTTTAACAGACAAATCTTCAGCTAACAAAACTACACTACCTTTGCCAAAAATATACCCAAGAGTGAACAATTGCCAGAATTTTAGTTCTTTCTTTATCAATGCACTTTTTCATAAAGTGTTTCATTTAATCCTCACAACAACCCTGAGGTAGGGATTATTATTACTATTTTAAAGCTAATACAACTATAGTTACAATAAACTGCCCAAGAGACTACATCTATAAAGGCTGAAGTCAAGACTCTAATTCTTGGGTTCTGAACTCCAAATCTCTTTCACATACAGCCTCCTCTTCCCTCAGAAAAAGTACAAAAACCTCATCTACACATATTGGTTCTTCTCAGTCAGGGAACTATCATTTCTAATATTTTCCTAGCATCATCTAGATATGCATTTAGCTTTACATTTCAAAGGAGCAAGAATTCTTTGCTTACCTGGTCCTTCTCAGGTTTATCAGAAATGTCATTCAGACTGGCGGAAGTCAGATTCCTATGGGTCAGGGCTGGGCTACCTGGAAAAACAAAAGCAAATTCTAATTAAAGACTTCTTCTCAAAAGCACAGAGACTCTGGTTGTATATTTCATCAACACTAGTAGATGATGATGGACATGGTGATGATGCTTTAGCTACGATAAAGGTTGGAGTGCAGACACGGTTAAATGGAAAGTATGAAAAATCTCCCATAACTTGTTAAAGTCTGACTGCCAGTCTCTATTTTAAGGTAAGTTACACTTTGAAAGAAACATCAAAAACAATAGGCATAAAAACAAATGTACTCCTGGTTTGGTTTGGTTTTTGTCACGGCCCTTTCACACATGTCCTAACCTACCAGGTGTCCTTTCCTTTTCCTCTCCCCTGCATAGCCAAGCTTTCTCCTATCAGCAGAGCTGGCCCCCGATTCAGGCCTACTGTCCTCTCTCCCAGGCCCCTGCAGTCCTTTCTAGGACATCTCTCATTCCAATCAACACAAAAAGCTATCTGTGTTCCTTTCTCTAGCTAACATTTTAATCAAAATATCTCTCCTGCCCTAGATGGTTTGGCTCAGTGGATAGAGTGTCAGCTTGCAGACTGAAGGGTCCCAGGTTCAATTCCAGTCAAGGGCACATGCCTGGGTTGTGGGCTCAATCCCTAGTAGGGGGCGTGCAGCAGGCAGCCAATCAATGATTCTCATCATTGATGTTTCTATTTCTCTCTCCCTCTCCCTTCTTCTCTGAAATCAATAAAAATATATTTTTTAAAAAAGAATTATTTCTCCTTAGTAGGCATCTGATCCAGAATCCCCATTCTTTGCCTCAAAATAGTGTTATCACAGGCTCCCCTTAGTTCCTGCATTCCCATTTGCCAAACTAAAATAAGTGTGTCCCTTCTTCCCCTTTAACATGCCAAACTCCATATTCAAGTCAAAGGATGGTTCCATCAGGAACGCTTCAGGGGGACCAAGCTCTCGGGCAACATAGCTGCTGTAGGTAATATCCACTGGCAATCCAGTCAGTGATTTTAGACACTGTTATACAACCACAGAGAGGAAGGATGTCTGGAAGAGTGAGAGACCATTTTCAAGTAGACTGTGTTAATAATACTGAACTTTCATTCTGCAGTTGGCCTGAAATCTCTAGGCTTACTAAGCAAAAGAGGAACTTTTCAAAGCCAGGGTGCTTGACCCACCCCTGCAGGGTGCTGAGTAATGCATTCATCCTTAATCCTCAATAGTCTGACTCAGGCTGGTCTTCACACCAAGAGGACAAGGGTTGGGGAAAAAAGAAGTTCCAACACAGCTTCACATTTGCTTCCAAAAAATTATTTATTACAGACTTTAATTCCTTCCGGTCAAAACTTCAACACAGAATTTTACAAAATATTGCAAGCTACTCCTAATAATCTAATGTGTATATGCCAGCAGCTCTTTAAATTATATAATTGTCTTTAACTACTAGATCAGGAAAATCACAATTTTCTGGGGCTGACAGACAGGATGCTTTCCGCTCCGTTGCATTTCATTGAGTAAGCATGTCCTAGGTCTCTGGGAGCCTTTACCTGGTGGGTTATTTTATTCTAGGAAAATTTGAGCACAGAGCATTTTTCAAAGGAAGAGCTGAAAAAATGCTTTATGGGTAATATTAAAAGAACTTCTTTGAAGGCCACATTTTCTTCTTTGAACTGCACGCACACCACTGGATACAGGCAATACCAGGTACAAACACGAATGCCCCAAGGTAAGGAGCAGATATAATTTTGCACTTTATGTTTAAAAACAAAACCAGTTATTTAAAGTAAAGAAATCTAAAGTCTATACTCCTACGTCAATGAAGCCTTAGAAATACTAATTATAAGTTAAAAGTAGCTTAGGTAAGCGATTAGATAAGACTAATTTCTAATTATAAAGCAATCGTATTAAGTGGAAGTACTGAAATAAATTGAAAGCAGTCTTTCATTAAGTAATTTAAATTTCCTGGGCAATATCCTAAACTCACTCACTGATTTGCTTTGGAAATACTGCAAAGGTACATTTCAACCCAAGAACTGCCCTAACTGCTGCAAAATCTGAATACGTAGAAGCCAAATGAATAAGGTCTTTATTATGATGGTAATCTGAATTGATGTCACTACTTTTCCAAGAAACCTCATATACTGTCTCATCATTTCTCATTTCTGAAAGACAGCTATCAATATTTGTGTTATATGGGGACAGAAGAGGCACAGGTCCAAGGAAGAGGAAGGAACCAGATGGGGAAAAGAAGGCCAGTGTTAAGAAATAATCAACTCTATTGTCCCTCCTACCCTTAACTTTTCTCATTAATAAAAGTACTATTTGAAAGTAAAATGAGGAACATTCCCTAATGTTTAACTTTATAATACACTAGAAGAATTCAAAGTCAACACTTTTAGGTAAACCCTAAGCAAGATGATCAGCATTCTTCAATCTTTTCCCACCTCCCTCCCTAACAAACTCCTCACCCCTACACCCTCACACCTTGAACCAGAGACAAATGCTTCCCAATTCCCAACCTGTGGCCCCGGGCCAACAGCATCAGCACCACATGAGAACTTGTTAGAAATGCAAACTCCTGGGACTCACCCCAAATCTATATCAAAACTCCAGGTATGGGGCTTAGCAGTGCGGGCACTAACAGACCTTGGAAGTGATTCTGAAACATGCTAAAGTTTGAGAATTACTGCTCGAAATAAACCAGTTATCTTAACCGAAGGGTGTCTCAGTCAGAATCAGAGTTGAAAGGGGTTTATATAAGCTGAAGTAGCCAGAGTGGCCATTCTGATAACCTTGCTCTCCCCCAAGCTACTGCTTCAAACAGTCCTATCTCACGCAAATCAGTAAATTAGCATCCTTGCCACATCTACAGACAAAAATGATCATACCTGGCATTTCCTCTAAATCATCACCTACGCTATCAAGTAAATAACTAACTTTGTTTTGGAAGCTCACTGTTTAATTAGCCTTTTCCAGAAACCTACCACCCAATTCAAAAAGGCAAGGACGAGAGCCAAAAGAGATGACAAACCAAATTATATCTGGGAATCAGAAATCTGAGTGTGGCATTTTAGCAAACCCAAAAGCTGTTATACAACAGGTCCCTAACAAGGGTCTATTGTGGATATTTTGCACCTGACATTCAATAAGACGCATTGTCAGAACAAACCAGTGCTTTCTATTTAGAATTTTATCTTATAATGTAAACTCATGATACTGCAGTCCTGAGTGAGTGGAGGTAGCAGAGGAAAATGTCTCCTTGTACCAGAAAGGTGTGTTACAAGGATACCTAAAGCGTGCTATCACTTGTGCAGGTGGTGATTCCTTTACTCGGAGCTACCACTAGCAGGCACTTCCAATCTGAAATCCAGGGCATACTTAAAACTGTTCTTGGTCCAAAGAAATTTTGGGTTTTTAAGTGTTGGATTTTAAAAAGACGAAAAAGAAGGACCAGCCTTCTTGTGCATTAATTATAATGAATTCGCATATCCCTGATTTCTTGCCATAAGAAAAAGAAAGCTTTGGAGAATCACATTTTCAAGCAGTTTCACACAATCAAAAACAATTTCATTTTCAAAGTACCCACTTGGCAGGTACATACTGTCTTCTATAAAAACTAATTGCATTCTGTACTAAGTTTGAAAATCATTTTTATTCTTTAGCACACATGTAGCAATTCATAAAATCCTCTGCAATTATATCTCTTTGATAAAATAAAAAGGAGGATAATGTACAGCATAGGAAGAGGATGATATGTAAAAGTCTACATATTAGCCTGGCATCTGTGGCTCAGTGGTTGAGCGTCAACCCATGAACCAGGAGGTCATGGTTCGATTCCCTGGGTTGCAGGCTTGATCCCCATTGTGGGGTGTGCAGGAGGCAGCCAATCAATGATTCTCTCTCACAATTGATATTTTTATCTCTCTGTTCCTCTCCCTTTCTCACTCTGAAATCAATAAAAACATATTTAAAATTTTTAATGAAATAGCGTACATATTAGATAAAAATACAAATATGTATGTAATAACACATATATTGCCACACGCACACCTCATACCTTTATAATAAGCCAATAGAGAACCTAGGAACAAGGTAAAACAAAGATCACAGGGGCTATGAGGTAAACTGTGTTTTTATTCTTACTAATAATTAAATAACACTTTTAAAATATATTGTTATATTATTTTGCCCTGACTGGGAATTGAACCCTGACCACCTGGTTCACAGGTCGACGCTCAACCACTGAGCCATGCCGGCTGGGCATTAAATAATATTGTTAGCATAAAAATAACTAAGGTAACTTACATGTAATGGACATTTAAATGAAACTGGGCATTAATGTCAGAAAGTTTAGAGCCATGGGTATGATTTGAACTGCTTGGGACCACAAAACAATATGTAGTTTCAGAATAATGAATACTAATATGTTCTGTCTCCCAATGACTCATTGATGGTTTCCCCCTGCCCTTGATGTTATAACAAATCTACTAGAAAATGTCTGTATCTAAGATTAAGCACCAACTAATCTTTTTTAGTAGTAGGTACTTAAACTTCCATTATCTTAATCCTTATATAAACACTTTGAGGTTAGTATTGTTATTACCACTTTAACATAAACATGAACTCCAAGGCAGTTAAATTTATGGTCACACAGCAAGTGGTAAAAACATAATTTAAATCTGGATCTCTTAATACCAATCCCACTGTCTCTGAGAAAAAAAAATGGTCTATGTTATTTACATAAATAAACACATAAACTTCACTTCTAATGAAGAGAAAATTTAAAGTATAACTACAAAGAATATATCCCACTTCTATGCCAATTGTGTGCAATATAATATTACTAAAAATGTTTAAGATAAAAATGCTCTTGGTTTCCAATTTTAGATGTTCCCAAAAATGAAATTTACATTTCTTTGTGTTTTCATTTTCATAAAGGAAAAAATGGGGGGGAGAAGGGGGCAGATAGTCAACTCAGTCTGTTTAGCACTGAGATTAAATAGTAACTCCAAACCACTGCTCTG